TTCACATTCAAGAAAACTTTATTTTTTTAACCTATCTTTTCCTTTACATAATAATTTCGTAAGTGGCTAGGCTTATCGTGGTGGACTAATTGACAGCAGCTGATCTCCGCGCGTGTTCCGCAGGGGCGCGAAAAAGGGCGCGGTGACCAAGGAGGCCCATCACGCCGCGGCATTGGTGCGCAGTCCGGCGATGCACGAGGGCTTCCGTGCGGGTAGGAGTGGGGGCACGCCGCAGCGCAGCACGCCCACCGCCTCGCCCGACACCGCCCCCGCCTCCGCGCTCCCGGCGTCGCGCCGCCGCCGCCGGTCGCCGCGCCGGGCGCCGCCCCTGCATGCACGGCGCCGTGGCCACGTCGACGAGTCGCAGCGGGGGGCGTGCCGCTGCGGCGGACCAAGCGCGGGAGGGCGGGGGCGGCGCGGCGGGCGCCTCCCCGCGCAGGCACCGCCGCGTCAGGGACAGCCCGCGCCGGAAGCCGCAGCCCGCCGGGGCCGGACGCAGCCCCACCGCCGCGCAGCCCAGGTGAGTTCTCACCCTTACGGCACATTACTCTCAGAATTGGGTACAAGACATTCAGGGATACTTTGTCTATAGAAATGTAATGGGAAATTTCGTATAAAGAATGAGAGCGTTGGCATCCGCGGCCAGAGTTAATAACTACTTGGCTGTGCGGGATACTCCTCGTCTAAGATGCAGGTGCCAACGTTTAGACTGCCATTCTGCGTCCTTCCACTTCCTGAGGAAGGCCTTCCGCATTTTGCCCTGAGAAAGGCCGCGCAATTGTGCCCTAAACGTACGCGCCTGTCCCTGAGACCCGGCGAGTTTCGGGAAGGCAAGAAGTTATTTATTCGTAAAACGAAGATACACTTGTCATTTGCCCCTGATTGGTAGGCAACTTCGTATGCATTGATGTTCGGCTGGTACACGAAATCAGGTGTCAGAACGTGTACCTGCCAATCACCCGTTTTTGGTGAATGGGAGAGAGTGGGATAGAGGTAGGGAGAAGAAGAAATGTAGAAGAAAGGAAAATAAGTGTTAAAATGGAGAAAGAGTAAAAGAGAAAGAAAGTGATGGAGCAAATGAGAGGAGGGAGAAATGGATAGCGAGAAATAGAAATGAAAGAGTGGGTGGCAAAGAAGAAAGGTAAGAATAGGGGAAGATGATGAAGGGGAAGACATATGAGAGAGGAGGAATAGGGAGGAAGATATTGCATGCGCTGACACAGTTAAAAATCCTTTTTAAGCCCTTGACGTGATGAGATAGAAGGAGAAGGTAGGGATAGAAACAGTGAAAAGATAGTCGGTGGGAATTAGATAAATAAAGAATAAGAGAGATGAAGAGTAGTAAAAGGAGAGAAGGGAGGGATATTGAGGAGGAAAATTATTTTAGTGTTAAACGTCTTTGTAAACATTCCTTCTTCCCCATAAACGTTGTTAAGAGTGTATTGAGAAGAGAATAAGGGAATTAGTGGTGGAAATATGGAGAGAGAAAAGAGGATAGCTGAGAGGAGCAGAATGTAAAGATACTGGGAAGGACGAAGAATGTTAATAAGGAAGGGAGAGCCGAAAGGAGGGAGGAATGCGGGCCCAGGGAGAGTGGTGAGAACTGACTCAGCAGTTGGAAAAGAGGGGGAAAGGAATGAGATATTGCAGCGCTTATATTTTTGTAAGGCGCTTCTCAGAATGGAAGGGAGAGAGAGGAAGGGAAAAAATGAATTGGGTTGGAAAAAAAGTATGTCAGGAGGGAGAAAGAAAATCCAAAGAATCACAAGATCAAAAAAGAGAGAAATAGCAAGGAATTGGTCGAGAGCGAGAGAGCCGAAAAGAGAGGAACGAGGAGAGCGGAGGAGGGGAGAGATAAGACGATGGGAATACCAGATATTGTATACCTTCTGTAGCTCTCTAGTAGAGCTTTGATAATCCGATTTGTTTACAAAGAAAAAATAACACAGAAATAAATTAAATTCTGTATATTGGGTGTTTTTTTTTATTTTTGTGTTTTTTTTATTGTGAACAAATATATTCATTCATTTTGTAAATAACAAACAATTTACACTTTTTAGAAGGTTTATGTTTCTGCAATGCAAATTTTTGTATAGAAAATATTTTATTTTTTCAAACCAAATTATGAGTTCTTATTGCGGCTCAGCCATTCTAAATATCGATGAGTTTATTAGACAAAAATATGCTTAAAATTTACTTAAGAACTTATTTGCAAAGTTTTGTTGTTTGCTTCTTAGACAAACCGAATATTCCACGAAAAATTAAAAGCGAAGAAAGCATGCGTCTGTCACGAAGTGACAGCTACCGCTCATAGCCATAGATGCGTACGAGTCATCCGACTATTTCATCAGACGTCTGTCAAGTGACCTGACGGGTTGGTATAGGGACGGAGGGCCCACCTCGTCGCGGCCCAGCCGACGCTTCTGCTCTTTGCCCGCTGAGATGAAACAAATCAACCGATGCGCGTGTGCTGCAGGCCGCGGCGCCGCAGCGGCGGCGGCGGCGAGGAGAAGTCGTGCGCGCCGGGGTCCGCCGCGGCGCTGGCGCGCTTGGGCGCGGCGCCGCCGCCTCCATCCCGGCCAAGACGCCGTCGACGCCCGGCGGCGCGGGGGCGGTGGGCGCGGCCGGCGGCGGCCCGGCGGACGCGAGCCGCTGTCCGCCCCGGGGGCGCTGCTGCCGGCGCGGCAGCCGCTCTCGCCGCCACTGCGCCCGCGCAGCCCCGGCGCAGCCCGGGCAGGCGCCACCGCTCCAGGGGGTCCCGCGGCACCCGACGCCGCCAGCCCGCCCAGGCAGCAAGGCGCCGCACTAAAGGTGAGACTTCCCTCGCCCATGCAGAATGTAGATGCGAGCGTTGTGCATTCGTCTGGCTCCCTGTGTGTGGCTGTTGGTGGGGTTTGTGTGTGTGTGGTGTGTGTCTGTACCCCTCACGCCACAGCGCTCCAGGGGATCAGTAGGCGCCGCAAAGGTGAGACTTCCCTCGTCCATGCACATTGTCGCGGCGAGTGTTGGAGCATACGTCTTGGCCCCTGGGTGTTGCGCCGCCGCCGCGCGGCAGCAGGCGCCACCAAGGTGAGACTTTACTCGCCCATGCACGTTGTCGCGGCGATGGTTGGGGCATACGCTTGGCCCCTTGTGTGTGGCTGAGGTTGGGGTGTGTGTGTGTGTGTGTGTGGTTGTGTGTGTGTGTGTGTGTGGTGTGTGTGTACCCCTCACGCCACAGCGCTCCAGTGGGATCTCCATGCGCTTCCGACTCGGACACCGC